AGCACAACCCATTTGCTTCTCGGAAAAAGACCTGGGATTAAAATTTGGATCCCAGATGAGGCATTGCATCTATTACAGACAGAGCAACCCAAAACATTTCAGGCAACGTGGTGTGTTTCTAGTCTAGATCAGTGGGTATGCAAAGAATTTTTTTTATTATATGTCATAAGGTGTGTTTTAATTAATTTTGACTTTTCTGACAGAGCTGAAAGTACTGTTATTCCAAAATGTTTCTTCTGAGAATAGTGTCACATTTGGATGGCATTCTATCTTATTAGCCATGAAAGCAATAGGAAAGGATTGTGAGGAAATAAGTAGCAGGATCATCATTTCATCATCAAACTCTTTAAATTGCCACATTTAAAAGCAAACAACAAAATACCCTACGTGCATAGAATAAAAGGAAAAGGTAATTGGCCACCAGGTGTCAGTAGTTGTCCTTTTATTGTAATGGGAATATAAAGACTGTCGGTAATGGTTGAGCCAAGCAAGTCACAAAATTAAATGGATTTTTTGTTGTTGTTGTTGTTGTTAAGACCAGGAATTAAAAAATGATCAGCATAATTTGTCTTCCTGTCTGTTTAGAGCACAATAACAAAGAATATACAGTGCATAAAATGGTCTTTTTCCTCAATTTCCTATTAAATAATTGCATCTGTGACCAACCCATGCAAAAAATGACTGGAACCTGGTAGGTCTTATTTGCCATTGCCTGATCACCTCTAATCTGCTCTGCCTATCTAGTACTATAAAGTACCTTCTCTAAAATGGGATTGAAGGTAAACTCCCAGGGAAATGGTGGATTCACTATCCTTGAAGGTATTTAAAAGACTTGTAGATGTTGCACTTAGGGACATGGTTTAGTGGTGATCTCAGCAGTGTTGCATTCATGGTTGGTCTCCATCTTAAAGTTCTTTTCCAACTTAAATGATGCTACCATTCTATGAAAGATGCATCCACAACAAAGTGGATGTGCAACCACTACAACCTAGCTCCCTGATTTAGATAGGGATTTCAATTTTCCTTAGAAAGGCTTGGATGTTTTGCTGGGAGCATGCCTGTACCAACACAACAAAATACAAGCCAGATCATTCTCCCTGATCTGTGGTCAGTGGATCTGCACACCAGGTCTGTTTTATGTCTGCTAAGCAGAACTGCCTGGGGAGGTTTGTTACGATTAAGATGTTTGTCGCAGAGGGTCAGCATGTAGGGATTCTTGAACACTTGTCCAGGTGATCAGGCCTTATGTTTTTAATCAAAACCATTTTCTTCCTAAACATCATTTGCACTGGTTGGTGTCCTGGGTTTGCATTAGGGAAATAATGAAAGTATATAGAAATTTGGGATATTTAATCCAGCTAGCTTTATGAACAAATAGCCTGGTAGACATGCCTGTACCTAAATGGTCTTGTGTAGAAAGTGGAAGAAAAGACTCTGACTATCTTCCTAAAGTCATTCTAAGTCATATTATAAAAAAATGCTTCACAAGACCTAGGTATTTTTATTAGCATTATTATTTGAAATTATGCAGCAACAACAGGAAGGCAAGATCATCAACGACAGCTGAGCAGAGCCTTAGTTAGGAAATGGTGTGATGATCTAGGGTGACATTTTCATTGCTTTATAAGCTCATTTATTACCTATGTTATTTGTTGTGAGAACCAAAACAAAGTGGGAAAGGAGTTTGAAGCAATCAAACTTAAACACATAGGATGTGTGTGAACTTCATGAATTTTTAGGAAAGCTGCTACAAGAAGGAGCTTAGAACCTCCAAACTGTTGAGACTCTGAGAAAGGGACCAACAGGAAACAGTCTGCAAGCAACCTATGAGTACGTGAGAATACCAGTCTCTGCATATTCATTTTCATGTAAGGCTGGGCACCGAAGCTTTGACAGAGAGAGTCTCCTTTCTCAGACTGCAGGCTAGACTCCTCCAAGGTGATGTGTCCCAACCACTGGGAGCTTTGTCCTGGCAAGAGGTTGTCTCTGTCGAGGTTCAGCAATTCCTTTCACAGAGATTTGGAAATGTAGCTCCTTCTTTATCCAGAGTACTAAATAGATTTTTGTAAAATGTTTTGAAGTGTGACTGTGCCAGACCCTTGTGTCTGACAGTAATGTTTGTTTAAGCAAGATATCTGAGTTTGTAACAATAGAATTATATATTTTTCAGGACAATTAAACAATGTTTCTGTACGAGATGAAGGTCAGAAGATTAATGTGGCTTCATCTACAATGCATTTTTAAAAACTAATTAAGAATCGTACAGTTCGCTCTGTACTAAAGACTGAGAACATTTAACATTAGATGACTCTTGCTCCTCTGCAGCAGCCAAAAGAGAGAGAGAGAGGAATGGAGGAAGAGAGTTAGAGAGGAATGGATGAAGAGAGTTAGAGAGGAATGGACGAAGAGAGTTACAGATGAAAGTGAGCTAGCATGCAAATAAACAAATACATCATGGGGATGCAGTTAATGGAGAGCCATAAAAAGCCCCATTCTTGTAACATCAGACATAAAATTTTCTCTTGGGTAATAGGGATAATCTAAAATATTAATCAGCAAAAATAGTCTGTATTTGCAATCATAAGTATTTCTTGTTAAAGGAATAGAGATGGAGAAAAATAAAATGCTGCTTTCAGAGCATTATTTTGAAGACTAATTTATCACCTCATGCTTTTGGACCATCTCCCTCTCTCTCTCTTTTGTGTTTGACAGTCTATATACACAACCATTCTTCCATGGGGAAAACGTGGTTAATAGACCTCCTGTCAGAGGTGAGTCTTCTGGGAGGAGGTATGTGAGGGTGAGGAGCAGAAGTGGGACTGGAGTGCCAGTCAGCCAGCTTGTGGCAGAACGAGCTGCCTGCTGGCATGGTGATGGGTGCTGGTGGCAGTGAGGAGGCACCATGGTGCGTGTGCACATCGACTTCAGGGATGCCAAAGTTTAGAGGAAGGAAAATGAGACACAAATCAGAGGCATCCGGAGGTAATGGGAGGATTAAAAATACAGTTGCCTAGCCTTTTAACGGGAAAAGGTAAGAAAATTGGAAGCTGTTCCTAAAATCTTGCTTTTGGATGCTTATCTACGCTGCTGATTTAAGCTCTCTGAGGTTCATTTGCTCTGTCTGGCCAAAGCATATAAATGCTATCAGACATTAAGGAGCCTCATTTCAAAACTGGGCTATGCACTGCTATTCTGTTGATCAAATGTGGCAATTATTTCAGGCTTAAAACCTTTTAGGGATAACAATAGGTGCTGCCAATCAAAGCTAGAAGGTATAAATGCATTCAAAGATGAAGCTGAATGAGGAATAACAGCAACATGTGTAGCTAGAATATATTATGGATTACCATCCTCTCACACAAAGGCTAGTAAACTCTTCAAAATGCAGCAACCTACAGAGCTAATAAAAGGGACAGAAATGTGCGGATGTCTCAGTTTGTCTAATTTGTGTTTTTCTAGCATTGGTAGGATGACTCATTGGATTTAGCAACAGCTTGTGAAGATGAACATATTAATAACTTTATGTTGCAGCTCTGCCATAAAATGTAATCTTTTACAATTCTATATTCTCAAGTGAAATACAAGCTTAGTACCAGAACAAAATTAGGAAAGATATTTGGGTTGTCAGTATATTTTCCTTTTATATCTGTGTTTGTGCATTTAAATATGCAACTTAACTTGGAAAAGAGTATTTCCTTTCAACACCATGCCTTTCCCAGTGTGCCACTCCCTGCTATAAAAGGCTGAAGCACGCTTAAATATGATGCTGTCAGGACAGTACTCCAAGGTATTCCATGTCATTCTCTGTATTTTTATATTGCACCAAACATAAATTAACATTTTCTTACCAGCCATAAATGCTTGAATAGGAAAGTTCATGTAGACTATGTAGGATTTGATGACAAAGAAGCCAGTTGCATATTGAAATTTGCATCTCTAATCCATGGTGTTAGTAAATAATGGGACATATATCCATTCAGCTTTTGACAAAATTCAGCAGATTTTAATAAATAGATAACAAAGCACAAGGCTTGTCTTGAGGACATAGAAACTATAGTTCTGAATCTTTCAATCTTATTTTAAATCTCTCCCCATGGTTTTAGGCATTACTCTAGTCTACTGAAAGGTTCATCTGAGTAATTGACAGCTTGCAGACAAGATAGCAAGTAGGACCAGTGCTTCTAGGCATTGAGATCATGACCAAACCACTAGACTGACCATCTTGTTTCTCCTTGATTTTAATGAGACCTCATTTTAATGAAACAGTTTCACAGGCTGTGTCACTTACTGGAGATATGTTTGTGGTTTTTGCATTAAACATACTTGCAAATGTACTGAAATAACAGGACAGAAAAGTTTCAACAATTTTAGTGCAAAGAAGACCCCAAACTTAACTTCCAATATATTTGAAAAAAATATCTTTTTATGCTAAATGGTATGAAATACAACTGATTAGGCTCAGGACATTTAATAACTTTATTTTAAAATTAAAAAAAAAAATACTTCCTGGGCATGGGCAAATCCTCAGACAGATAACTGTTTTATACCACACTAAGTGGTTTGATATGTTGATATTACCGTTACTACTTAAAATGAGCTGAATTTGTGAAATAATCAAAAAAATCTATGAGCTCATTCAGGCCTCTCATGCCATACACCCTTTGAAACTACTTATGCTCCTGATTGATTTAGCATATAAGATAAAGCAGTGTTTCTTATGTGTTTGCAAAAATCCCAAGATCACAGAATTGAAAATTACATGTATTATATATACACAAATGCATATATGCATATAATATGCATAAAACACTAAAAACGTTACACACACGCGCGCACACACACACACGTATATATAAATATGCTTTGATATTTATCTCCAGCTTAGATTCTTAAATAATATAAATTACATATGCCCCTATCTCAAATACTTAAAACCTGAAAGTGCTCACACTAAATAGTCAGATAGCTATTGTAGAGAAAGACCGAATTCAATTTCTTACCTGCTTTTTTACTTTCAGGGACATCTGTCTTCTCATGAGCTTTCTCTTTTTTTCCTTCTTTATCTAAGATTTAATTAAAGAAAGTAATTTGATATGCTAGAATTCTGAACGATGCACTCAAATATGCAGTCAGCCAAATCCTAGTGGGCATACGCTGAAAAAAAAGTGACTTATTTGGGAGTTTAATTCAGATTATTCTCTTATAGCACTTGCACCCAACTAGCCCCAGAGCAATAACTGAAAATGGAAATTAATCATTATGCATCAACTCTGGATGATTTGAACCCTTAATAATTCATCAAAAGCTCTGAAAAAATCAGTGAGTGAATGTGCTATCTTTAAGCTTAAGCTTAAATGAGGTCATTAAGAATTAATGAATGACATAAATATTTTCCCATGAAAGCAAGACCTTAGTGGATTTTGGGTGCTTCCTGGGAAGGAATGGTCCAAATTCTTGTTCAGATGGATATCAAGGCTTTGCAGTTTGGTCACTGCAAGTTTTGGTTGTAATTCTGTAAAATAAATAAATAAATACTGCTACCTCACATTCAGAAAGTAATGTGCCATGGACAGAGCCTCTCTCTCATAAGTTTTGTGTATGGCAGTATCACTATGTCCTGCTATATCTAGGGACTTCATTATTTTTTTTTTAAAAAGCCCATAGATGGGCAACAAATGGAACTTTTTATTTGTCAGGAAAAGAATTTGGAAAATATTGGACACAGACCACATCAGACATCAGATTAGGCTTAACATAAAAAAGAAAAAGGTCTTTGAGCCAAGAGTGGAAATGAAAACTGAATGAAGCCAGAAAGAAATATTTCCAAACCATACCTTTCTTCTTAGTTTCAGTCGTAGCCCTCTTTATGTCAGTCTTTTTCTTTTCATCTTTTCTCTCTAAAAGAGGAAAGAGAAGTTCAGACGATTAATTTTACATAGATATAAATATGTGCACACAAACACACATAAAATACACAAATGCACAAATACAACTTGAAACTCAGAGAGTGAATGGGGTGCTAAGGATGGAACTGAAACCAGTATGTACACCAGATAATTACTTAAGTAATTACTAATTCAAACAATTATGCCCATTAACCTGATGTAACTAAAAGTTAATGTGGTGATTCAGTAACTGTTCACCTGTTCTGCTTTTTTTATAAAATCTGATTGCCAGCAAAACTACCACAAAAGTAGTACCTGCGATTAAGTGCATAATGCCATGAAAAGCCTGCATATATATATTTTACAGCACTTTTAAGGAATTGAAACTTTGAAACTGTAATTACAGCACTTCTGTTATTCTTGGAGAACTGCAGTTAAAGCATCATCTGTAAAAGAACATGACTTGTTCTTTTAAAAGCATCTGCCTCTATTTTGTCAATTAATTGGATAACAGTAGAAATAACGATAATGTTTTTGCTTTTTTTACAAAAAGCTACAACAATTTAATTACTTATTCCATGAATGTTATTAGCTAGAACATTGAGAGTTCAGTAGAGAAAATGAAGAAGCTATAATTCTTATTTTTCCTTTGGGAAATGAGTCCCCATTTTGATGGGAAAGAATACACGAGTACAAGAAAAGTTACTCTAACTGTTTTTTTAACTGCTCATCCACAAAAATCCGCATTTGTTACCTTCTGTTTGTGCTGCATGGCTTTGGGTGTTGATGTAGCTAGTGGAAATATAGTTTTCTCTTTGTGATGTTTTGCTGTTATGAATGTGGATAAGAAACCAGGTTTTACTACCATGCAAAATGACACAAACATAGAGCTACAAGCCTTTAAGCAAAGAGTCTTTTCTTTCCTTTAAAAATGAAGGTATAGGAATATTTTCTGAAACCAGCAGATACAAGAGGCAAATATGATATTATCCTGTGCATAAATTAACATGAAGATAAAGAAAAAATGAAGACACTTACTTTTTACTCCTCTAGCTACCACAATAGACTTTTCTTCTGCTTGAAAACATATAAACAGGGAACAAAAACAAAGATTAATTGAAATACTGCACAGCATGCTTCCTAAACCAAACCCAAATATATGTACGTTTGAGAGAAAAATTGGTATTTTCATACAGTACATAAATTCTGCAGTCTGGTCATGATTGTTTCATAAGTAATTATTTTGCTTTAGGTGGGGCAATGTATTTATTTACCAATATTCAGGGTCTCCTCAAACCATATTTCTGCTGATTTTCTGACAATAGTGCTCAATGTTAAGCTTCATCTTGACATTTTCTAGTTCTTGTTTTAAACAGATTTGTTTAATGTGTTTCCCTTGATACTGTCTTGACAAAATGAACCAGAAAATCCTTGCATGTATTTTACAGAATGTTTCTCCCAGTGTTCTGCGTGCTTAATTCTCCCTGTTGAAATCCTGAAAGTACTGGCCTTGATGATACAAATTGCTTTGTGTCATGAGCATGTTTTCTGATATTGAGGTTTCCTAAGCATGTATGGAGCACCAGAGTAATGTTCATGCTCCACAAACTTGTTTGGAGCTTAATTTTCTTGTAAATGTTAATATTCTTGTTATTATCTATCTCTAGGATTCCTAGGAGTCTCTCTGACACGTTGTTCCAAAGGCTCATGCTAGGGACTGTGGCTGCCTTCTCAAAAGGGGAGAGTTCACCCTCAGATTACACACCAGTTGTTACACAGCTTTACTTTTCTGTGCCACCTATGAATCTTCAGTGTTTAGTTTCCACATGCAGCGTAGAACATTTAACTGTTTAACTTTTGATTACTCTGCCTGACTTGACCGAAACTGTTAAACATGCTAAGTCTATCAGTTACTGTCAGGAAGAAGCTTCCTTCTGTCTTCCTTTCACTAACCTTCTCTCCTAGTAACTAGAGAGTGAAGTGCTGCTGGTACTTCTGTGATTTATATTGTTTTTTCTCAGTACCTCAGTTTTGGAGGAGCAGTTATAGCTCCATGCTTCCAGATTTTTCTTCCTTACACTTCTGGTGCTAGGTGATGCACAGCCATTATTCTTAAGACAAGAGCCTTACAAACAAGATTCCCTTTAGCCAGAGAACATTTTTGCCTTTGAATCTATAGCATTTTGCATGCTTCTGTGGCCCAGCTAAGATACACAGCATCTACTCCAAGTTTCATAGCAAGTCTCAGAGCCGTATGTGTCTTGAGAGCCATGAGCTGAGAATGACATGACATGAACATGACATGGAGCTCTGAGAAATGGAGCTTTATATTGATGCTGTACAAGAAGTAGCAGAATAACCTAAAGCACAAGGAGACTACATCCCTGGCTGCAGAGTTTTTATTGCCAAGTCATTACACCAATTAATTCTTCTTCCATCAAGCTCTCAAGCTGCAATACTCAGAGTGCTCAGGGAGCCTGGAGACATGTATATTGGTTATGAATTTTTTTGAGGACAATTACATGGATTACATACAGGTATTAAAAGTAACCCATGAGCACCGCCCAATGCAAGATATGCACTCTTGGTAAAGTCTTAGAAAAACAGTCACAGGGTTTCCAATCACATCTTGGCTGCCCCATTGATGTCCCTCACAGCTACTACTGACAAAAGTATGGGTAAATTAGAACAATGAACTTGGTAAATAGATACAATGAAAGTGTTATTTCTGATTTCAGGAAGCAATCCCGTTTCTTGAATAAATTTATTTCCTTTCAATCCGAGTAGCTCACAATTGTTGCATTTTAAGCGTATATTTAGCACCAGCAAAATTGTAATTTCTGAAGCAGTGAATTCAGTGGGTATTCTACAGATTTGTAGACAGCTAAATTAAGAGGCAGAACAAATAATTACATAGGAACTTATGCAGGTCTTTTGCACTGTAAAATATGAACCCCATTTTTTTATTGAAAGTACTTGGGGTTTTTTAGTTAGGAACAGTAAAAGGACTACAAATATTCATGGATCAGTTGCTTAAAGAGGGATCAGCGGCTTACACAAGGAAACACAAGGTGGTTTTGATGATTCAGGATTGACTGCATTAGGCAATTAAAGTGCAACTGACTACTGATAAAATACCTTTATTTTTACTGGGTTTTGATAATATAGTTAGTTATGCTTTTTTCACCAGGAGTGCTAATTGTGAACTACATTTTATGTACAAAGTGTAGGATGTATGTGTACAAAAAAAACCCTCACCTTCAGAAGTCTGCAATGACCTTATAAGAATGAAATAGGCATATATGCAGATGGCAGAGTATGAGGTGACAGTCAACGAGACAAGCAATGGACTTTGCATTTAGTCATTTTTTCTGTAGGCTCTGTGCAGAAGTGGAATTTTACATAGTACAGGGAGCAATCCAGTGAGCATGAGAAGTGTGTGAATTATAGTGATGTACTACTGAATGGGAATTCAGCTAATTTCTTTTTTTTTTTTTTTCTGGGAGTGAAAAAAAAAGCATAGAATAGTTTTATTAGAAAATGACTGGAGTAAGGAGAACAGCCCTAAAGAAAGAATCTCCTGAGATGGAATTATTTATTTCTGAATAAGGGGTGAGAGACTGATAACACCAGTGGAAACCAAGTAAAACTCAACAGAGACCAAGAAAGAAGTGCTTCAATCTGAATTGCCTGTATCATCCTTGACAATGTCTTTATGTTATGTTCATGGGACATCAACTAATTCTTGGACAAGAGGGGGAGGGAAGATAACAGAAACATGCTAGTAACGCAGCACTTGAAAACAGGCCTGGTAAAACCAGCGTGCTACTGTGCCAGTGCTGAGTGGAATCTAAATTTAGGGATGCATGTGATTTCCTGGGCATAGTGTCATGGGAATGCTGCCTGAGAACTGGAAGAGGAAGGTTCTCTAAGAGTTTCTTTTCCATGTTGTTCCAGATGCTCCATGTGCTTATGGAAACACTGACTCTGGAAGGAACTGTCAGCTCATACTATCCCCCCTGAGAAACCGAGGTAAGGAGGGCAGCAAAATAAAGCTACCTGTACCTTCTTATGGAGAGGCATGATTATAACAAACACTAGCTAGTAGGACTGAATGACAGAAGTTAGAAGATGTTTTGTTTCAGATAAGCTTTCTAAAGTTCAGAGACTTAAAAGGCTTATCTGCATTTATCTAAAACCCTTTGAAAGGAAATCTCAGGAGAATAGTTCTTGTGAGAGACTTTGGATATTGTCTGGCTTTGTGAAATACTACAAGAGCTTTTCTTGCCTACTGATTCTGGTCCTGGCAGAAATGGAGTGGCAGAGATATGCATATACTCACTCACATACAAAACAGAGCAAAACAAACATTTTCTTGAGGAACTATAATTCAGACTGAATACAATAACTTCATTTCAGGTAAAACTTAATTTCATTTTTCTGCAAGCATCTCTGTACACCTGAAGCTGTCACTGGAATAATTTTAAAAGACCATAAAAAAAAATCTGTATTTTTAAAATTGTATTTCCTTATTAATTTTTAAGAGATTATGGTTGTTCTTCTTTGTTTTCATTGAGGATTGAAATTATGACTTTGCATGTTGCTTAGGGTGGAGATTGACGATGACTGGACAGTTGAACTTTTGATTCTAAATGATTTCACACACATTCAAACAGTAAGGCTTTTAAGGAAATAACCAAACCAACCAACCAACCAAAAAAACTGCAAAAAACCCAAAGAAATAATTTCTGCTTAGTTTGGAATGCCATGGAAACTCATACTTTTAAAATTAAATCTAAATTTCAAGTAAAAATTTACCTCATCTGTCTCTTTGAAAAACACAAATCCTTTCTGGGTAAGAATGTCCTTCTTGGTCCAGTTATTTTCTCTATGAGAAAAAAATCCTGCCTTACCTCAGACAAACTACTGAAAAGTCAAGAATGATCAAAGTAACCTAAATGGTATACATCTGAAGTTCTTAGAATTGCTTCTTTTCACAAACACAGATACACGCACATGCACATACACATTCTCAAATACTCCCTGTAGCTCACATGTGAATGCTTAGGCAAAAATTAAGTGCATTTTCGAAAAACTCTGTTTAAACCACACCATTTCAGCAGAGTAATTCAATACAATTTGTTCTCACACTGAGCAAGTGAAAGACTAATGTGGCACACAGGTGATTGGAAGTATAGGCCACCCTGAAGACCTAGGCAATCTCTCCAGACTGATTTTACTCTTTGAAACTGCTTCACTGTTTTCAAATCCTGCCCTGAAACACTATTTGGTAGCTTTGAAGATTGCTTATGGAGGTATTATTGAGGTCTGCAGAAAGTATGTATTAGCAATTTTGTGTTTGAAATTCTGAATGCTTACATGTGACCCACATAAGTGTTCCTTATTTCTTCCCATAGTGATTATAGGCTCCCTCTTCATGAATGTTAAGCGCCAAAACCGTTTGTTAATAGCATAGGGCCATATGTTGCCCTCACTAAACAACATAGTAGGGATCAAAGGAGTACCAATACCAGTATAGTGAAGCTGGAATATGCATGCCAAGGAAAAAAAAAAGATTGCATACCAACTTCCATGACAAGAAAAGTAATAGAAAATCCATTGGACAATAGACAATGGCAAATACGATTATGATGAAGAAGTAAATTCCCAGGGGAACCCTGACTTCTCATGCTACATCCTTCACTAGCAAGAGCCAAACCAACACATCTTAGACAGCAGGGTTAGCTTCCCTCTGTGACTGACATTCATACTAAGCAACACAAACTGACCGTAGCAACAATTGTGTTACCAGTGCCGGGAAGGGTTTGGAGGGTGCTTTTGATGGGCGTGCTTTTGAGCAAGAATGTCTGAGTTTTAGAAAAATGGGATGAGTAGGCTATGCAGGACATCTTCTGCAAGGATATCCTTTTTCTTTCCAAAGAAACATGGAATGTCTACTTTTGAAAGCCCAGAAAATCTTAATGTAAATCACTATTTCCCATTTGCAGGTGCAACATATGAAAAAGATTATTGCTTTTCTGTAACATTTAGATCAATTTAAAAAGATTAAAGTAATATTTAGAGTTGTTTGGTTTTGTTTTATTGAGTAGATTTTGGTGAATATTTATTTTTAAATGCATAATATAATGTTGGAAAGTAGATGATTATTAATAATAATGAGAAGACATAGTAATATGTCTAATCAAAATATTAATATCTTAATAAATATTTTTTTCCCAATGTCGAAATTTTTCTGTCTTATACTAGAATAGAAGTAGTACAGAAGAGCCTTGTGTCATTAAGTAAAATGTCAAGGGCTTTCTGAAACAGTGAAGATTTAGGCTTTTTTCATCATAGCTAAATCATTAGAGTTTACTGCCTAAATGACTAATATGAATAAAGAAATAACTCACTTTGAAACCTTTTTGCAGTTCATTTCAAGGGTTTTGCTGTATTCAGTACAGACTCATGGAGAAGTAGGGCCCATATTTCTCAAACACCCCTTGTTTTTATGTTGTAGATACAGCACCCTGTTTAAGCTACCTAAACTGTTTCTTCAAATAAACTAGATTAAAGCTTAGCCCATAATACTGTGATTTTCTGACAAAAAAAATTCTTATTTATTTTTATTCTCCCCTGAATTTAAATTTTTCAGAAAATTCATTTTCATTTGCAAATCATGTCAGTGTTATTAAAAATGTTCTAAATTTGGATAAAACATCAAAATTCTGCACTTTAAAAAGTTTTCCTCTGTATCTTGAATCGCTGTCTCTAGAAGTTTCTTCTTTATGGGTCATTGATTTTAACAAAAGTTTTTTTCTAGAAAAGTCTGTGTATGGAAGAGGAGAATGTCATTGACAGACTGTACAGAGTCAGAATTATTTGTATAAGATTTTTACATTTCTATACATCAAGGGAGCTTTTTCAAAATTTGTATTGGCTCTAGTAATTTAGATACTCTTGGCAATATCCCCCAATGTTATATTCATGAACGGAGGAATAGACTAGAAATTCTTAAAATTCATAGAATCATAGAATAGTTAGGGTTGCAAAGGACCTTAAGATCATCTAGTTCCAACCCCCCTGCCATGGGCAGGGACGCCTTCCGCTAAATCGTATCACCCAAGGCCTCGTCCAAACAACAAAGATGCAGATTTCTATTTCAATGCCAGTTTAGCCTCCACAGGAGTTTTGGAGGAAGTTAAACATATTTCATAACAACTCATTTTACTGCATTCTGCAAAATCTTTAATTAGATAATCCAAACAGTGATCTAGAAAAAATACTTTTTTTTTTTCAGAGATCCTCTGAAACCATTATAGAAATTTTAAATTTTTCTTTTTGACCTCATTTAACACCACAAATACCAGCAAGATGGCAAAGAACAGCCAGTATATGTCAGGCAAAGGAAAGAAAAATTTCAGAGCCCATCGCCATTTATCAACAGATCAGAATGGTTATGTTGATGACTCTTCCAGGATAAGTGCTCTCTCACTCAAACATACCAGCACAGATTTCTAGGACAATACAACCTGGAAAATTATACTCAGATAAGATGCTGTTCCAAGGTGGGTTTTTTTGTTGTTTTGTTTTGTTTTGGTTTTTTTTGATATAATGCTCTTAAAAGTGGGACAAAGCATATTGTCTGAGATCATATGTGATATGCATTAAGATGCCTATGACTAAGAGAAGCATTTTGATACAGGCTTTCCGCAAAGGTATTATGATCTTGTGAGAAACAAAGACATGCTACTCTAGAACAATTAACATGAATCCTTACCAATAACTAATAAGCCCTGAGCTTAATTTCAACATTTTTTCTCTCACTGCAGTCTTCTTGAGAGATTACACTGCCATGTCAGAGAGCATAACACGGGAGGACTATCAGAAGGGAAAGTCCTTCTCAGGTGAATGGGGAAATGGAGGAAGCTAAAAGGTATGTGAGCTGAGCAAAAAAGTTAAGACCTGAGAGAGATATTCACAGAGAATCAGTGTACACTGCAGAGCAGTTTTAGGTTGCCAGTGATAACAAAACACAAGAAAGCAAGAGTTAGAAGAGGTGATGAAGACTATGGCCAAGAAAAGAAGCATATTAAAGTCAAAGTTCAGATAGCCATGGACAGCAGATCTGTTCAAATCACAGTCAGCACCAGGGTCCTCCCTAAATGGCTGCATCAGAGTGTCAGCCAAGATGAGTGCCTCTTCCAAGTCCTTGTGAAAGTTCCAGAAAAAGATAAGATAAAGACTATAAAATTAGTTATTTTACTTCATGGTTTGACAAACAAGGTTTCCAAATTGGAACACAAGTAAAAGCTATGTATCAATGTATTTCTTTTCACAAATTCCATTTCCCTCTTTATTTGTTGTTACAGGATCTTTTGTTTTGTTTTGTTATTTTCTTCTGTTGGTGGCCTGAAACTTCAAACTCTTGATTAAATTTTGAGTGGAATATCACAAGACAGCAGTGCTTTTTGGAAAGAGCAAAACCACCATGAAATAAGAGAGCAATGATCTGTTCTTTTCCCTTCTTACCAGATGAGTACAAAGCATTTTGTTTTCAAAAATATATGAAAGATCAATTCACATGCACACATTTCAATGTAATTTATTGCATACTACTAGAATATAGTGCACAAATTGGCATTTTTTTACACAACCACCCCTTTTCCCGAAGATTTACTGTGGAATTAAAGGAAGACAAAATTGTAATGACAAGACGAGAAAAGCTGAGATTTAATAAATCAATATGCTGTTTTCCTAAGACCTCATAAATGCAGCAGAACGTAATTTCTACTGGGCATCATATACTATCCAGGAAAAGCTTTCTATTTGAAAGCATAAAATAATTTAGAAATGTTAGAAACATCTAGCACATATATTGCCAGTATTTTCACCTTATCAAAAATCAAGGATGGTCCAAGGTTACGTAAGAAAGCAGTGGCAAAATAGGGCAATAGGGAAAACATCTCAAACCAGAAAAAGAATAGAACCTTTTTAGTCTTTACCAGCTACATGTTTTCATATCTAGTGTCAGAATATCAGTGAGTTGGAAAGACTAGTGTCTAAATAGACTGGTATAATGAATTTTCTGTGTGACAACCATTCTGTTTTTTCTTATGGTTTTACCTTTTTTTCGGAGCTGGTTGCTTCTGTCAAGCACTGGGCTAGTCCTTTCAATGTTCTATAAAGTACATTTCTCAATTAACAAGTGCTTGTAATTGTTCCGTATTATGAGAAATTATACTACCTTCAACTATATAATAAGAATCTTTTGTTTCAATCTGTCTTTTCAACTGTTCAGTGATATTTAGTCGTGTAACAGTGATATAGGTATGCAAGCATTAGAAAGTCACAGAAAGGTGTTTCTTCAGCTATTTCAGAGATTTAAATTTCCCTGCCTAGTACTCTTTTTCTGTTCTGATGTTGTGCCAAGTATTCCCACAAATTACTAAATTATTTTTCCCACGGGTGAGATAAAGCTTCACAGTTTAGGGTTCCTGAAGGATATTTTCTCATTTGTGGTAACCACAGAATAACACACTATAACAGCTTTTCACAGCAGCATTTTTATAAGTAATTCTTCATCAGTTTCTCCAAACCACTTGCATGAACAATATTGTGTATTATTGTATCCTAGTGACTGGCCTTGAGCCTTAAAGTGAATTAAGTTGGATGATTTTGAGCAGATAATCTGCCCCCTCAATTTGTTTGCCAAATAGGTGTCTAATTTACATTCACAATTACCTCAATTGCATGCACAAATGAGCTAATGAAACACACAAATGTGTAACTGGTCATAAATAGTAATTTCCATGTGCGATTGCAGTAATTGCATGCTGCTCATAATTTTGAAAATCAAGAACTTAATGTTAATTTGACGCTAATTCATGTTGTATAACAGTTATATTTAAAGATTACGTTTATCACTCAACAAATGCAGCAGTCTTCTTCTATTATGTCTCTTGTCCATTATGGTTAATTGGTGGATAACAGTGTTTAACATTGCAGGGACTTTTTCTTGATAAGCAGGGATCAAATATTTCCCTAAACCAAGCAGGACTGCAGATCTATTTATATACTATATTGTGTTGCAATACCCACAGTTTTATACTCCTATAAACAGTATGTTTAGAAATATTAATTTGAGGTAAAAGAGATTTTGGGTAAAGAGATAATAAGCCACATTATGGAAATATATAATTTAACTCTTTGTTTTAGTGAGAGGTTCTGCCAAAATCTAACTCATTTTCTGTTTCCAAACGCAGGCAACTCTTACAGCTCTTGTTACTTTTTCTGCTGCCATCCCATCTGTTTTTCTCTCAGACTGCAATTGCTTTCTGGAAAACATAGAACTAGGACTTCTATGAGAGAGATTAGCAAGTGGATGGTGTGACTGAATGCCTCTAAAATATTACAGAAAAACTGCTATATAATTACATGAAAAGACACACATTTTGTACTATTAAATTGTATGGTGTAAAGACCAAGAATGTATATTACTGTAGTAGTGCTAAGTCATTGGACATAGTCCATTTTAAAACTAAAATGCATGTTTCAAAAGTTTTACTCATATCAGTAGAGTGTAAACAATATAATTCTATTGTAAGGGTTATGTTTTATTCTTCTGAAGGTAAGATCTGACTGTATTTTTCTTTCTGTGCTTTTAACAGTAAGAATAAGATTGATAAATGCAGAGCCAGAAATATTATGCTCATTATTGCAGAAAATACACAGAAATATTATTGAATAACAATAGCTGAAAGAGTAATCCAAAATATATTAAGAGTATAATGTTGATTATGTATACAATTAGATGGCATCTTATGGCTGAAAACCATCCACAGCATTTTACAGATTAAGGCTTTATTCTGAAATCGATTTTCACTTGGGAAATCCCATGAGCCATCTGTGGGACTACTATAAGGAATATAAGGTCTTGTCATGCAAATATGATTGTGCCATTCATGCCCCAGGCCTAATAGCTTGATCAGTTTTATAATATAGATTATATTTATAAACAAAATCCATTAAACAGAGAGTCAAGTTAATGACCAAAAGCCAATAAAGAAGAAAAAAACTCAAACTTGCCTTCAATAATTGCTGTTTTCTTTCTTGGACTATGTTCTAGAAGAAGACGAGGTGGTACCATTTCCTTATGTCCTGCACATGAGTACACAGGTTAGGAAGCATAGAAAATGTATTCACTAACAGGCTGAGCAGATTTATTGGGAGACTGAGTTCCCTTCAGAATTGTTCATGTTTAAAGTATTACTCTGGGCATAAAAGGTACTATTTTCCAGACAACACTGGCAGGAAATGTATTTCTCAACAAATAAAGGACTTTATTTTGAAGATACATTTTAAATTCGTGAAGCCCAAGTGAATCAAACATATGCTGAAATGCTTACAGTTCTATTTTTCTTCATTAGGCTAAAAAACTCTGAAGAATAATTCTGTGATAATAAGGTTACATATTCATGATGCCTCTTCTACAGTAAAAGCTTATTTTCTTCTGTCAAACAAATGATCTTCAGTTGTTCCCTCAAGTCCACTTATTATGAACTTCTTGAAACACCAGTAAAAATTATTATGTTTCTCATCCTTAAGGATTATTCTTAATTAGCCAGTACCAACCAGGTCATGCACTGTAAACACTGATGAGGTTCTGATTCCAGCTGCTGACTGAAATACCTCTTCACTCTTAGAGCATTGAACTGTACTCTCTCACACTGTATTAAACTAGGATTTGCTGTACTGTCTTAGCTTATGTGTAGATACCATGCTTTATCCAAAATACATTTCACTTCATCAAAGATTCACAAACAGATCTATCACACTCATACTATGTATGCTTCTTTTCTGGTTTATAACACCTGTTTTCAGTCTCATTCCCTTTTAATTTCTTTCTTTGACATTTATGTTCAGTAGCTATTATATCATTGTCATTTGGAAAACACAATTTGTTGTGACTTGTGAAATGAAATTAAGTAGTTAAATATAATATTGATTCATATGCACCAGCATTCATTCACAGCACCAGTGTCCCCATGCAACGAGGCTGTTAAATCTCAGTTCCAGCTCAACATCACAAACTCAAAGCCATTCCTCATGCCCGGTGATAGACTCCAAAGAGAAATTAAGATCTTAATGAGCCTCGGAAACTGAGGTATCATACTTACCTCTCTCATTTTGCAATGGTATGTGTACTCATGTGGCATGCATGAAAAAAACAGCATCTTAAAGACAACAGTGGGATTTGAGCACCATGGTCTTAATGCTATTGCATCTCATTAGCATGTGTATGATTGCAGGCAAATAATTTGCAAGCGTGTAGTTTAGTTCATCCAGTAATTTATATGAAATACCACACACAGAGCTGCTCAAGCTTGACTCATGTGCCTGAGCCACTGATGAAATGTTGACACATTGACAAAATCAATACATTGAAGGGTCTGTGCAACAAATGGTAAAAATCTAGTTTTACACATATTTCCTGCCTTGGCAATAAACACAAGTGGATATTTACAAATCTCATCACAGGATGACTCTAGCCTTAAAATGAACAGTAGGCAAAATTCAGGAATCCAGATGTCTAGCAACATTTTTCCAAGCATTTTATGTCTTAAAAAAGTAATCTTAAAATTGCAAACTGAGCTAGTGAGATGCTGAATATCATTTGCTGCCAACCAGAACAGGTAAGTTTTATGCATAACTTCTATTGACATACAGAAATTTCATTGACTGAATTCCTAGTTCAGAATTAAAAACATCCTAAAAATTAACAAAAAAATGATAAATGAACTTTTTCTTTCTGCTAGTTTTGATTAATGTCCTGAACATTGTTTTTTGTTTTGTTTTCTTTTTCTTCTGTTTTTGCCTAAACTATATCACCTGTCCCTGGATAGAAAAAGTGACAGATTTTATAACTTACAGTTTTATGTGAAAGATGGCAAAGGGCAGTGGCTCAGGAGGTTGAGTAGATCAGTAATGAAGAAGGATAGTCAATAATTTGGACTGCAGTGTGGCACCTACTGCGTGAGGCAATGATCTAACACCTCTAGGTCAAAGTATAGGCTGGCCCCATTATCTTCCTGCTCTTTGCTGTAGAAGCAATTTTCTAATGATTGCACCAGTGTTAGTTAGTATAATGCCAGTGCATTACCACTTACTGCTAATGACTTGTCAAGTTCTATTTTATAGTTTTACAAGTTTTAAGCAAATAATTTATTTCATGCAAATTAACCACATGATCCAATATGAGGGTGTTTTAAGCACCAAAAGCTTAAGCTTCACAGATCAAAAACTTTCCCTTAGGCCAGAGTGTTTGTTCTGAGCAGGTTCCCATCTACTCTGATAAAAGGCTTCTTTAATGTTTCCATGTGTTATTAAATGTCTCTCTATTCACTTTGAAGGGAATGCAAAGGACAGAAGCAGAATAAATATTTTATCCATGCTTTTGATGAGATATGTTAAAGGGGATATCCTAAGTCAAATTTCTTTCCCTTCCTTTTTTTCTTCCCTATAAGTTATAAAGCAGAAGTGGTTTTCTGCAGTACAGAGAATTCATAAATAGAAACGAGGAGCTGACCTCAGGTGATCAGACCATTAGGATTAGTGGTGACTACTATTTTGACTACTATTTGTCCAGTGGCCAGCTGGACACATATCCATGATGTAAATGAGAGGAAGGCAGGATATTTTCAATGATCCCAGTGGATAATCAGATTAGTCCACGAATCATGAGATGTCATTGTCCAGATTACCACTATTATTATTGGACATACAGCTATCCTGCTGCTTTAAAAACGCAGCCACAGAAGAGCACTGAAATTTAGCATCTGCTTATTTTTTTGCTTCTCATTTCAAATGTAGAATTTAGTTTTCTACTATGAGATAAGATGAAAATGTTCATTTGATTTGATTTTTTTTTTTAATTAGGATTTGATTTCTCCAAAAGACATAATTGCAAACACAAATGTATGCATGTATTTCTGTGCCCAATTTGTCCATGCAGTTGTGCTACAATATTTTTATGCCTAATCTGTCTATGCAGTTGTTTTACAGATACCTCCTTCATAGATGATATTGTGAACATCTATCTGACAACAAATTACAGCCAATGGAAACCAAAATAGTGAAATGTTTTGACTTTAAGCCCATGGGAATGTGCTCACCAGGAGGGAAAGTGTCATGTTAAGGCATGAGTAGCTTCCTCTACTGCCTGAAAGGAAAGAAATATGTTGCACAGATGAATAGAAGGTTTAAGACACTAGATGGTAACATGAATACTTCATTGAAAATAAGCTACAGTCCTCAAACTCTGTGAAACTTCTGTCATCTGTGTTTATTAAATCACTTGAGGTATCATGAAGAAATTAATTCTGACTTTTTTTATGAATATTTTAGATTTTATATTACATGATAAGTAATACAAGACAAACTTTAATTACCTTACTTTTATCAATCTAGGAAGCATCTTTTTTCATGTGTCAAAAATGTCATGTCTGAGCACTGAGGATAAACTGATTTCTTATGATAACAGCAAATCATGTGGGTTTTCTTTCTTCTCCGATCTGCCCAGTTCAATTTGTCTGCAGCGACCTTCATTGTCATAGATAAATCAAAAGGTCATGGGATAAAAGAAAACACTCCCAAAGTTACTATAAAGCATTGCTATTATTGTACAAATAAAGGTATTGTAGACAGGTGAATATTCCAATTTGATATGGGGAGAAATAATGTCACCACAGAATGCAATATGTGGAATTATATATGATTCCTATGATTGTGTACTTTCTTATATCCATATACCAGTTATCTGAACAGCAGCATTCCCATAATCCAAGAGTACTAACACTTTGTTCCAGTGTCCCTCAAACAGTGCAGCAAAATGTCTTCAGATAAATCTCATTCTGTCCAGATGTGACATCTTTCCCTAATGACATTTAAAATAATTGAAATAAAATAAGTGTGCTCTTTGTAGAGTCATTTGTTATGAAAAGTAAATTAAAATCAAACGTTTCATGAGCCTTGGAACAAGACATGGATCAGCAGAATGGGGTAAGACTGCCAAATACACTTTTAGGGGATTGAAATCTTAATGGAGTTTCATCATTCTGTTCAGGCTTCCAGTTCTGACATGTAAGCTGCTTGAAGTTAAAGATGACCCTCTCTCTTGTTGTCAGTCTCTGCTCTTCAGACATTAGACTGTCACTATTCTGAGGAATGATTTCTCCATTTAATGCTTCTGCATAAAAACTATAAGCAAACTTGTTTTTTCTTTTTGATGTTAAGAAAGAACAGGTGAGGATCATGAGGTAAGATTGCATAACCGTTTTGAACAATGAAATGCTCATTTTGGGGAAGGAATGAATTAGGCAGGCAAGAGAGTTATGGGTAAAACTATGAATGGCATTTTTATTTTTATTTTTCTGTTTTAACCTGCAGCTGATGCTATTGGTCTCAATCAGAAATGTACGTAATGTATCTCAGCTGCTTAACACAGCTGAGCAGTTAAATGCATTTAAAACAAGATATCTGTTGAGAATTCTTTCCCAGAAATTTTTACTACAAAAACCTTCCTTAGCTCAACCCGTATCTTGTGAAAGGTTTTCTAATTTTTGTGCTCAGAAGATTCAAGCCATTAAGGAGTTAAAAGGTAGGTTTTAACAGTTTTATCATTACACATTAGTAAAAAGTCACACAGCCTTTCTTGACATTAAAAGAAAATTGAATTGGAAATGGAATTGAATCGTCTCCACTTCTCCTATTATTTATCACATGCATTTAGAAGGTAAAAATAATCCTACATGTTATGTTTAGAAATATTGAAAGACGGACCTCAAAGAACTGAATCCTAGGACAGTGAAAATGAGGGGTTATTGTGTGGAAATGATGGGTTATTAAAGTTATTCATACTAGAGCACAAAAGGACTGTAAAAGCAGCTTATGAAATGAAAAGACATACTCATCCTTCCTCTGTCTCCCCAAATAAACTTAATAAATTGGTATCATATACAGTGATACCTAACATAATTAATATGAATAACAGGAGTTGGTATAGACACATATTTTTCACAATATGAAGTATCCACAAGAAAACAATTGAAACAGAGAAAAGAAAACACTGAAATTAAATACTTCCTGCTAATAATTAAACA